GGTAAATCCACAATGATAGTGGATCCTTTAATGTATTTTTCTCAGTTACTTATTAAACAATCAACTAGATGGTATCATTGATAAACTTTACTTAATTGATATATTAAAAATTCTGCATCTAATAAGGGAACATGGAACATTTACCAGGACTGACCGTATGCTGGCCCATAAAACAAGTCCCCAAGTTCAAACAAATTTCAGAATATTGAAACCATTAATATATTCTCTGACCCCAGTAGAATTAAGCTAGAAACCAGTAAAAAAACACAAATCCCACAAATGTTTGGAAACTGCTCAAAGAAGAAATCACAATGGAAATTAGAAAATATTTTTGAACTGAATGACAATAACATAACATATTAAAACTTGTGGATATAGAACAACTTGTTCTTAGTAGGAAAAGCCAGTGGCAGTGGTCACTTGAGAAAAGAGGGATGATGACCAAGAGGCGACACAGGCAGGGCCCCTTGGGAGCTGATAATGTTCTATGTCTTGCAGGAGGAGGTGATTACATGAGTGTTTTACCTTTGTGAAAAATTCCCTGAGCTGCACATTTACGCTTTGGGCATTTTCTGCATGCATGCTATATTTGAAGGAAAAGTTTACTTAAAAACAGACAAGAAATTATTCCTGACTCCTCTTTTTCTCACATCCCACATTCTGTTCATGAACATTTCCTGTTGGCTTTAATTCAAAGTACATCCAGAATCTGGCCATTTCCGGCTACCTCCCCAGCTACCAATCTTGTTTGAACCAACAACACCTCTCTCTCTTCAATTTCATGACTGCTTTCCCTTTTTCTGCCCTTGTTCTCTGTAGTCTTTGGTCAACATAGCCACCGGGTGAACTGTTAATGCTGAATCAGAGCATGTCACCAATCTCCATCCACCAAATTGTCCAATTGGATTCTTATTTCATGCACAATGAAGTCCAAAGGATTGTTATAATCTTGGTCTCTACATGATTTGAAACACCAGCCCCTCTCCTATACCACCTCCTACCACTACCTTGTGTTTGCTCTGCTCCAGCCCTACTGGCTCATCACTCTTCCCAGGCAGGCCAGGCACACTCCTGCCTCATGACATTTGCACTCACCATTTCCTCTCCTTGTTTCTTCTCCTGGATTCACAAAGCAGGTCTCTCCATTATCACCTTCTTCCGTGACCATTATCTATCATTGAAATTCCCTCCACCCCAAACAACCTCCAATCCCTCTTCAGTTTAATTCACCAAATATTAATCCAGCACCAATAAGAATCAAGTACTGTTCTAGGTGCTCGGGACAAAATAGCACACAAAACAAAGATTTCTGCATTCATGGGGCTTACAGTTTAGCAGAGGAAAACAAACAATAGCATAAATGCATCGATAATTATACAGTGTGTTAGAAGTATACAAATGCTATGCATGTAAGACTAAAACAGGGTAAGGGATATTAGTGACACTGTTAAGAGGGAATGAGAAGAGAGTTGTAATTAGAAATGGGGTGTTCAAGGCAAGCTTTAGTGAGAATTAAGTCAGAATAAAATTTCGAAGGTAGTAAGGAAATCAGTCATGCAGATGTAGGAGAAAGAACTTTCCAAATGAGCAAAACAAATGCCAAAGCCAAAGGTAGGAGTGAGTGTGTCCGACATGCCTGAGGATCAGTAAAAAGACATCTATGACCAGAGTGGTTTGTAGGGCGAGCAACTGTCCAAGTTTTCCAGGGACTCAGGGGTGTCCTCGGATGTGTGACTTTCAGTGGTAAAGCCAGGAGCATCCATGGCAAACCAAGATAGTTAGTTGCTCATCTTAAAGGGATAAAGTTTTTGAGGAGAGGTCAGAGAAGTAACAGGAGGAGGATGGGAAATAGGGGTTGAAATAGGCATTCTCAGGAAGAACCATGAGAATCATTTTAAGGACCTCATCTTTTAGAATGAAAAAAGTGGGGAGCCACTGGAGAGTTTTAAAGAAAAAAATGGTATGATCTGACTTACCTTTTAAAAGACTTGGTCTGATTACAGTGTTGAAAATGGGATATAGAAGGACAAGGGCAGAAGAAAGGTCACCATCTTGAATACTACTGCAATAACCCAAGCAAGAGATGATGCTGGCTTGGAGCAAGGAACTACCAGTAGAGGTGATGATAAGTGGTCAGATTCTGGATATATTGTGAAGGTAAAAAACAATAATAATTTCCTAACAGGTTGGATGAGGTATGGAAGAGAAAGACAAAAGATAACTTCCAGAGTTTTGATCCAAGCACATAGACAAATAGAACTGCCATCAGCTGAGATGAAAACAAATGAACACAGAGCAAGTCTGGAGAGAAAAAACAATAGTTCCATATCATGTCCTCTTTTCTCCTGTATTTTCCTCCATACCTCTTACCAACATTGACATACCATATATTTTGCTTATTTATTTATCGTCTATATTCATCCACTGGAATGTAATCTCCAAGAAGGCAAAGACTTTTGTTTTCATTCCCTGCTATGTCTCCAGCATCTAGAATAAATTTATTCATTTCATAAACATTTATGGAGTACTTTCTAGATGACTGGAACTGTGCTAGGCTCCAGGAATACAGTAAGCACAATATATGTTCATAAGATTGCCAGATAAAATATAAAATGACCAGTTACATTTGAATGGCATATAAATATGAATATTTTTAGTATATATATTTTCTATACTCAAGTGTTCAAATATGTATGTTCCATATTCAAATATCCAATTATGGAACTACTTATACTAAAACTTATCTGTTGTTTATCTGGAAACTACATTTAACAGGGAATCCTGTATTTTTATTTGCTAAATCTGACAACCCTACATGCTTTCTGCCTTCAAGGAACTTGGAGTATGATAGGATATATACACAAAGAAACAATCTGTATATACAAATCTAGGAATCCAGGACACCTTCAGAGCACACAGGAGAAATAACACCTATCCTGAACAGGCCTCCAAGAAGCTTCCTGAAAGGAATGATATTGCAACTGAGACTGGTGTTTTCTAGTGGAAAAGAAGAAGAAAGAGTATTCCAGGAAGATGAAACAATATGAGCCAAGCTTGAAGGCAGGAGAGACTGCAAGGCATCCAGAAAGTTGAAACGGGTATCCTGAGTGCACCTAGAGAACATGGCTATGTGAGATGGGAGCTGAAAGAGTTACATCACCACAAAATATTGCTGCAGTGCATATTTGGCTGAGCAATTACTTTACCAGATATTTAGACCGAGGCCAGAAAAAATAAGCACCTACAGCCAAGAGCAAGAGCAGCAATAGTGACTGTCTTTCCCACCCCACCAGGCAGCTGTGGCAGCAACCACAGAAGGTTCTGAGATTCACTGCTCACCAGCGGCACTCTGTCAGGCTGAACCATCATGACCAAGGGCGTACAGTTTATTCTGAAGGGCAGTATTTTGTCCCAGCTCCCTACAGGCAGAAACAGGCAGACAGAACAAAGACTAATTTCCTAACAACAGATAGATACCATGAGGAGTCTGGGGAGGGAAGAAATCCCATGGAATTTAACCTAGCAAAATGGGCAAAGTTTGGAGCCCTTTGTGACCCTATTTTGAATCCACAGGATGGGGAAAGTCTTGTGACATTTGGGTTCCACTGGAGCACACGTTCTCAACAAGGGTGATCTTACCCAAAGGAGGAGAAAGTGGTCCTTGAGGGGGAAAAAAATCTTAGATAGTATAAGCGTTTGTTGCCTTCCTAAAGGTCACAATGCATAAAAATATATACGAGTCTACCTGCAGCATTAAAATTCCACCAGAGAATGGGGCAAGGGGAAAAGTGAGGAGAATTAAGGGGAGAAAATGTCTGAAAAGGCTGTTAGGGAAAAATAATGAGAAAAACTGAGAAACGCTAAACTAAAACAAAATTCTGCTTGAGGGCTGGAGACCGGGACAGCTTAAAAGATGTGTGGTCCTAGGAGAAGAGTAGGGGGCAAGGTTAGGAGGAGTGGAATGGAGGGCATTCTGAGTGGCAGGAGCAGCCCATGCACGGGCTTGGAGAAGGTAAACACATAAAATGCAATAGCATGGTCAAATAAGATAAGGTCTGAGAAGAGTTTATTGGATTTAGCAATTAGGAGGTCACTGGTCATTTAACCTCCTTGTGCTTCAGTTTCAATACTTGTTAAATTAAATTGAAAAATAATCTCTAAGGCAACTTACAGCTCTAAAGACTCTTTCACTACGTTGGATCTCTTTACACAGAGACACACAAACACATCCACACACTTACATGGCACTCCCAACACACAGCTCATCTTTTTACTTAATCTGATTTTCCTAACTCTCTAACACTATATTTGTCTTTGGAGAATTCCAGTTCTCTTCGTTTAATTGTAACAATGCTTTGAAAAAATCAGTTATGAGAATCAACAGTGCCCTGATAAACTGAGCAACTGAACAATAAACTGGTCAATATTATTTCCTATAAACATTTCTAATGCCTTGTAAATACCTTTTTATAATGTAATAAACTCTTTAGAATGTGGATACAAAATTTTATTTCCTTAAAAAAAAAAGAATTTAAAACCCAGATTTACTCAAATGAGGCAAAAAAATTACTTTCTCTTAAAGCTATCACTCATATATTCAATATTGACTAAGTGCCTACTATGTGTCAAATAACATATGTGTTGGGGAAATATCAGTGAGTAAAACAAGCAGTTTATAGCTTCGAGAGCTTAGGAGGAGGAAAGTGAGGAGGGAAGTAATTGAAAAGTTGATGACGTTTGCACAACTTAGTCATTGCTATCATGGCTGCATTGGTAACAGATCTGAAGCTTGCATGTTCCTGAAACCAGAGCTCTGAGGAACAGGTCAAAGTATCACTAAGGGGCAGCACAGACAGCAGTCACTCAGGAACGGGGGCCCTTAACCATTTGGGGCCATAAACCCCTTCATGGAATCTTGTTTTTAATATCTAAAATAAAATTACAAATGAAACCAGTTATATTGGAAATAGTCATTTTTTTAAAAAAAATGAACAAGATAGTAATATATGTACTTCTTTATTACATTAAATAAGTCAGGCAGCTGTCCTCATATTTACTATAATTCTGTGGTAGCGACAAATACAAATGACATGGTGAGGTACTTGCACCTCTATAACGTGTTACGGAAATATCTATGATTTCCAGAGATGACAAAGTCACAGACACGGCTAAGAATACTATGGTTGTCACCTACATTCATAATTGAATGATGTTAAATTTCAGTTAGAGGTTAATAAAAGATTTTTTTCCTATCAAAATTCACAGATTCCCCCTGAATTCCATCCGGAGACCTGTGGAGCTGGAGGTCTGTGGCCCCCTGTTTAGGGCATTAAGCTAAATCAGGATTTTCTTTCTTTCAATAACATAGCTCCATGGTGACTTCTAGAGCTGCAGCTCTATCACTGGGACTGCTCAAATGTGTAGCTTGTTCATTACGGGACACACTGTCGCCACCCCATGGCTCCTCTTGAAGAGCTGAGCATTAATAACCTGCAACAAAGCAGCCTTTTAGGGCATTAGACCAAACCTGCAAATTAATGCACCGGTTCATCACAATTCATTAATCAAACTCAGACTGGGTTTAACAACGGATTATTAAAGACTCAAAATTATATCCACAGAAAAAAAAGCAGCTCCCAGAGGGTCAAATGTAATGTGAATGGTTTTGCATAAAACCATAAACCTGCTATTAAATTAAAAACAGAAAAAATTATGTCCACTCCTTATCTCCAGGCATTTTTTTTAAAGGAATGCTACACTAATTTATTTCTTTGCTGTTCCTGGTTACACGGTAAAAGACTAAAAGGTTAAAATGCAATGGTTCTTTGATGTTTGGATGAGCAACTTTCACTAACATGTACTGATTGAGGTGAAGAAATTAATAAAATTATTTCCATAATTCATTACTAATGGGAAGCTGTCAATGCTTTCAGCTGACAGTTCACACGAATTCTCCCCAGACACTGAGACGCCTCGTGGTGACTGGCTGTTGGAGTCACTCCTTCCAATCATGTTAAGCAAAGCAGAGTCTGGCTCCCTGGTCCCACCGTTTCCTGATCTCTCGGCTCTGTGTGTTTGTTCTGGACAAACAAGTCTGTTCTCTCTGTGAACAAAAACAGAAGGGGGAAACAATGATTTTAATTTTTCTTTCCCTTCAGGGAATTTAGGTAGACCCTCTGGGGAATCTCGGTGACTTGTAAACATTCAGAGTGCTGTAATTTGGCAGATCACAGTACTGCAACCAACTGTGCAATGAATTTTCTTAAAAGGTTAATACTTTAGTGTAGTAATCATAGAGAATGAGCATAACAATAATAAGATGTGTGGAACAGACAAATTTAAAGAACTGTATGATTTTGTGACATCTTTGCTCTTTCCCCATTAAAATTGAATCATTAGTTCTTTCTCGTTTTGCAGAAACAGATGCAAAAATTACTAGCACACATGCTGATTAAGGTAGGTAAGTGACATTTCTGGAAACACAAAATGTTTTATTCAAATTATGTACCTGTTTGATGTTTATAGGGTGTTTCGGTCTTAGTACTGCCTGTTTTAAGCTCCAAACTCCTAAAGGTCAAAGACTATATCTCTGTTATTTATCTGAAGATAATTAATAACTTCTCTTTGAAAATAAGCTCCTATACATTGGTCATACAAAAACAGTATCAAATAATCTTACAGGTGAGGCAAAATATACCAGAAATCACATAATATACGATTAATATATTATTATATGTGTGTATCTACATAAATAATAATAGAATAGTAATAATCTAAAAACAACATCTTCAAAGCATTTTATAAAAACACTGAGATTCTAATACAACATGACTCAGGTTGAGATTTGGGATATATTGTTATGATTACATCATAAACAGCAAATACAGAGTCTAATTTTTTCACCTCCCCTCCCAAGCCCCAGCACTCTTTCCTGCGGGCTCAGAATCATAATCCATTTTAACACAACCTAACAGACAGCCTTGCCTAATTGCTTAGTGAACACTTAAAATGAAATATATTCACTCTATCCAGGTATAGACCCTGGAACTTAGTATATACTCCATAAAGATTTATTCAAATGAAAAATGAAACTCCTTCCCCTCTTTCCAAATGAAAACATACTGTGTTGGGGTTATTCCTTCAAAATTAACTTAATCACTACTGATTCCCACAAAGTGTTATCATAGACATTAACTACAAATCGGTTCTTCATTAAGATATTTTGGATTAATGCTGTGAGCCCTGAATTTCATACAGATGTTTATGACTCTATCATGAGATAAAATCTATATGCCAGAAGAAAAAATAATACTGACTTGAAAACACAACTATAAAGCTCATGTCATAGAAACTAGGGACAATGCAGATTACCAAGATATCAAAAATGAAGCAAACCTTAACATTTGAATGATGGCACTCTGTGCCAAAGAGTACTATTGAGATTCCTTACATCTCTAAAGTAAATAAGTGGACAAATTACAGTAATAGCTACAGTGTATAAAGCTCTTACTCTGGAACAGAAATCTGCTACTTAGATGACATGAAACAGAAGCCCATGATAGAGATGGTATGGGTGTGGGCATGACCTCTTACTGAGAAGGAACTTCTGAGAGCTTCAGCAGCTCACCTAAGGTCATACAAGGGAGTTGCAGAGCCAACCCACAGTTACATCTGGCTGACTCCAATTACTCTCTTCTGTTCCTCCTCTCCGATCTTTTCCCATGCATGCCCTCCACTAGAGCTACCTCAAATGGAAAAAAAATAAATACTGAAGGAAAGATCTGGGCCCCATACATATCTTTGTGCCAGTTTTCCTTAGCCTACAAAATATGTATGACAGAATAGCAAAGTGTTCAACAGCTTGGGCTATGCATCAGATTGCCTAGGTCAGCTTCCCAGTCCCATGACAATTTTGTGTGGACAATTTTATCTTCTTTGTGCCTCAGTTTTCTCATAAGTAAAATGGGTGTGGTAACAATAGCAACATTGTGGGATTGTAGTGATAATTAAATGAATTAATAAAGAGCAAGTGCTCAGTCATGGATACATAGACAGTCCTGAATAAGTATTTAAATGTTGTGTGCTATTTTTAGCTCTTATGGCTATATTAGAAGACAGATTTGGTCACCCACAAGTCAGCATATTAGTTGATCAGTTTCCAATCATCAAGTTTTACTGAGCATCTAAAAATTGCAACCTAAACAACAAAACAGCCTGAAAGTAGTCCTACTCTAAGACACATTATGTAAATTCTTTGACATAACAGACAATTTGGCCATTCCTCACTAAGTAACCAAGAAGGGTCATTAATGACCTTGGAAAGGAATTTCTATTAAATATGATTGGGAAAAGACAAGCTTATTACAGGGGCTAAGAAAATGGAATAATGAGGGAACTGAAATATCAATATAGGTGATTCTTCTTGGCATTTTGGTAGTGAGTGGAAGGAGGAAATTTACTCAAGGGCTTGAAAGTATACAAGAAACAATAAAGTAACTTCAACATCGGGGATGTGTGACAGTTATAAGAGACAGTAAGGAGTTGGGGATTATGGCAACACTTGATGCATTCCCATGACTGAGTGACCCAGATGAGTTGATCTTTGCTACTAATTTTTATTTTTCAATTAATTAGGGTTTTGCCCAAAAATCAATCATTTTGTCTTTCTGGGCTTTAGTTTTTCAACTCTTAAATAATAGAGAGGGGTAAGGGTGAGTGAACGGTTAGCAAAAACACAACAGGGAAGGAACAGTTGCCATACATTTTGTCCATGAAATCACTAGAGCTTCCAAATTAATATATTCTTTGATAGTGTAGGAAACAGGGAGCCAATATTTACCCTTGCAATGTGATTTCCAATGTTCAAATGTAAAAATTAAGGCCCAAGATTACCCAGCCAGGAATCACAATATTGAGATTTGAACCCACAACGGAGTCTCTTCAGCAGTCGGTTATTTCCACAACTTCAACTTGCCCTTGTAATGAAAGAATTCAAATAATATTTTATTACTGTTACCTCTCAGATGTAACTAGTTTTTATACATTATAATTATTAGATACTTTTAGCCAATTGTACATAAGAATAATAAATATATTGATAATATTTCTTATTTGTAAAACAATTTGAAATAATACCTTCTATATTGGCTCCAACATGATACAACTAAGTATCTAAATATTTTAACATTGTTATTAAAACTGATGCAAAACTGAACTAAAAATGACCACATATAGAGCACCCACACCCATATAATTTGAATTTAGTTCTTTGAAACATCACACTCATTGAGTGAAACACTTGCATTCCCTGCTGTGGGGAATCTTTTAAACTGCTACAAGCAAGGGGAGCCAATGAAATGAACTCTCTAGATACTGAGGGAAAACATTTTCTAGATCTTTTTCTCTTGGTTGGAAAGGCAAAGGGAGTTAGTTAGTTTATGGGAGAAGATGATGAGCACAAAGAACACACAGAAGTCTAAAGTAAGCTGAACAAGGTATCAATTATTTCTTTGTAGGAAAGGAATCTTGCCCTTCATGCCCTACCTAAGTTTCTCCCACGTAAAGATGTCTAAGTGACAGAGGCCTTCACGACAAGTCAAATCTACATGACCACAGGTGAACTCAACTGTTGAGCCTTATTTCTAAGGTATATTTCATAAAATCGTTCTCTCTGGATCAATAAGATGCAAATGCTAAAATTATCCTGTTAACCATCAAAATAAAAAGGACCTTGAGAATAAAGTTGTCATTCTTAATTAAAATGGTCTTTTTAATTCCTTTACTCTAACTAACTAAAATAGATACTAATACTATAAACACTTAATTGACTAAAGAAAGATTCTATCCATACTCCCAATTAGAGAACACTTAATTTATATATGATGAAGCTCATAAGTATTTAGCAGTATGGTTGGGATAAGTCTCTTTGGTCTCCTTTTTAAATGATTAAATACTCTCCATCCAACTGAATGAATGTCTTCTGAGTTGCATTTTGCATGCTAAAACATTCTTTAAACACGTAGGCCATCACTCAGATTTAAGAGGAAAAAAATCTTAGTGACAGTATGTTCATTATGTCTTTATTAAAATAGAATTTTTCCATAGAGTTATGTGCAGCTGAAAATGAGGCTCAGTTTAATAACAAAGTAAGCATTCCTAGCACTACAAAATTATAAAATTTTAATGTTTAATGTGTTGCTTAATTATAGAAAACTCTGAAAAGAATAATATCCTTGAAATTTACTATGCAAATACTCTTAATTTATGACAAATTGCTCCTTAAAACACAAGTATTAAATCTCTATTAGATATGTTGAGGTAATGTACTAATATGCATCACTAGGGTCTTAAATGTCTAAGTAGCAATGCTGTTTGTTAGATGCAAATAAGGATTACCTTAATTAAAATACACTATCCACAGCCTCTCAGCAGATTTAGCTCAGTCTTTATATAGGACAGGTTCATTATCTACCTCAAGTTAATAAACGTATGACCTACTGTGGTTATTTCTTTTAAAATTTAATTTTAATTACTATTTTGTTAATGAAAATAAAGCACAAAAGAATTGTATGATCCTAAAGCAATTCTGAAAACTTAATTATAATACCCCTCGAAAGCTTCAAAAGGAATTGAGCACTTACATGGCTTGATAACTGATGGTCTTACAAATACAGCGTTAGATACCAATGCTCTAAAAAAATGTTGAATGAAACATACTTTATAACTATCTAGCTTCCTTAGTCTGCATCTTGAACTAATGATCCAACTAAATAGGTGTAAACATAAAACTTTTAATTCAAAATTTCAACATTAGATAAAGGCTCTTAACAAAGAAATGAAATGAATAACCATTACACAATGCCTTTACAATACATAAACCTTAAGTTCATTCAGAGTTTTTACATAAAACTATAATAGTTTAATCCAGAAAATTGCAGATGTGTTCAGTTTGTCTTCTAGTCCTTTGAGACCTGAATACAAAATTAAAACACTGGTATATGTTGTATAAAATTCAGCACCAGAGTTTTATTAGGCAGCTTCCACTTCCATCTAAATTTCAAAGGTTTACACTTATATTGTTGATCCTATCTGTGAACATATTGGTTCAGTTAGGAGCCTTTAAACATAACACAATCCATAGATTTTATTGAGATTCACTGCTCCTCATGAAAAAGATAAGAGTATGAGACGGAGAGTATAACAAAGAGTATGCTCCAGGCAAGAAATGCAGTCTTTGTGATATTCAAAATATATTTAGCAGCTCTTATATTACAAACCTAGCAATGTTATGGTTCTTACTGCAATGTGTATTTCTGTATCAGACTACTTGACTACTTCCAGTAAGCAAACTCCCTGAATTCATCAGCAATAATAAATTTTTCTTATTTTATTATTTAATGGAAAAGGCATTTTGCCAGACACCACTCCCAACCCTATCCAAAAGAGAAACAAATCCAGTATGCCCTTCTATTTAGCATAGAGTCATGAATCTAACCTTTAAAACATTGGAATCCGAACTTCAGGCATAAAAGAAATTGAATTTAAAATGAAAAATGAGAACATATGACTAAAATAATGAGATATCAATTAAGTTGAGATACTACTGAATTTCTGTAATTCTATATTAAGCTAGAAATTTGATTTAAATTCACACCCACATATTTGACCTAATCTTACTAACTAAATGAAGTCTGTGAATATAGGAGAGTATGTCTTATGGTATTTCTGTTTATTCACCACACAGAAAATTGCCAATTTATAGTGAGTTGTTTCCCCAGTGTTTATTTACATGTCATATTTTTGAAACTTAAGATGAGTATTACCCTAGAAGTAATAAATGAAGATTAGGTTTATCCTGAAAAAAAAAAGAATGTACAAAAGCTCAATTTAGGCTTATAACATATCTGAAATATTTGCAATGAAATATAGCAATAAACAACACTGTTTCATAGTAGTAATTAAAGAAAATGGAAAGTCAAATAGAATAAAAGATAGTTTACTACTCTTAAATGCTCTAGGTATAATAGATTTAATTGGATGACGAAACAAAGATGATAAGATGTTTATGAGCATTCTGAAAAGGACTGCTGAGCTTTTTCAAGGTCTTTGGAGATGGTTACCACCAGTTCTCTATTAGATCCTAATTTCACTTGAATATGTAACAACATGCATTAGCTGTACAGTTACGTTAAGTTTTAAAACTAGTGCCTTTCCCTTCCCTTATTACTGGTATTCCCTAATGTTAACTTTGTTTTCATCAATAATGATAAGAATAATTTTTAACTTATAGTTGGGGTGGAAAATGAGCAATAACAGAGAAAGATTTTTCTGGAGATAATTAAGCATGCATTGGAAGAGAGGAAAAGGGAAAAGGAAGAAATAATGGAAAGGAAAAGAAGGGAGAAGGAAGTTAAGAAAGTGTGTACATGTAAGAAAAGAGTAACTTGAGGCCCATTGGTTGATAGAGTTTTTTATGAGTTTGGCTTTTATGTTTTTGTTTGGGGTGTGTATGTGTGTGTGTGTGTGTGTGTGTGTGTATGCGTGTGTGTGTGTGTGTGTGTGTGTGTGTGTGGTGTGTAAAACAGAAGAAAAGGAAGGAGCAAGAATAGCACGGTTTCCTAACACCATCCTTCCATTAAGTTAGTTTTTTCATTTCAATTGTTTCTTTTGAAGGCAAACATGCTGAAGTAGTGAATGATCCATCTGATCTGTTAAATATAAAATATAGTGGCTTATGTTTCTACAGTAAGAAGCATTGAGAAGGGGCATAATAAATAAACCTTAGAATAATTCATCAGAATTTTTGCATAAAACCAGAGTGGTTTAGCTATATTACTGCAAAACATTTTGTTTGTATTTTGGCCCTCCAGGACCCATGCAAATTATTGAACCGATAATGTACTGCATAAATTCATTACCAAAGCTATATTAGGCAAGAACAAAATAAAAGTCTCAGAGCCTTTAACATGTTTAGGTGCACTGAGACTCCTTAAGAGTGTGCAGTGCTTCTGCACGAGTCGGAACGTCTCCCAAGGAGTTAACTCTCTGTGGTAGTATTCTGTGAAACACATTTGGGGAAAAGTTGAGTTACAGTAAACAGTGAGACAAAGATTCCCGCTAACACCCCTATTGCCCAGTGATTCCCACTAACACCCCCATTGCCCAGTGATTCCCATTAACACCCCCATTGCCCAGTGATCCCCATTAACACCTCTATTGTCCAACAGTGTTTCGGAGAATCTAGCCAATGCAGTAAAACAAGATAAAGAATTCTGGCATAAACTGGAAGAGACAGTATTATCATTCTTTGCAAATGATATTAGAAAATCCAAGAAAATCAACTAAAACGTATTAAAACTTATAAAAGAATACAGAAAAACACAAAATCAATAATTTTCACTTATACTAACAACAATCAGTTGAAAACATAATAGAAAAAATATTCCACTCATCATAGGAATTTAAAAGAGAGAGAGATCACCCGAAAGAAAAATGGGCAAAGAATATTAATAAGCAATTAACAAGAATATGCAAATAGTCAATTAACATATGAACAGATGTTCAAACTCAATAATAATCAAAAAATATAAATTAAAACAAGATGCCATTTTCCCCTTATGAGAACCGAAATGATTAAAAACGTGGGTAATACCATATCTTGACATGACATGTTGAGGGAAAAGATGTTCATACAAGCAGTATTACTCAGCGTCCAGACAGGAAAAAAAACCACATTAAAATAGGGTAATTTGAAGAGCATTTAACGAACGGATTATTAATATGGGAGAGGGTAAGGTAGAGAGAACCTATAAAGGACAATGCAGTCCCCAGGGCTACAGGCAGAGGACAAAGCTGAGCAGACAGGCTCAACTACCAGGAACTGGGACACTGGGTCAAGGGAGGCAGCCACCGTTCATCAACCCTGCAGAGAAAGCCAGGAGAAGCAATACCTCAGCTTAACTCTCCTCTTTCCTACTCATCTCCTGCCAGTATCCCTCATTAATTCAGCACTACCATAAGGGAAAAGCCAAGGGGCCTTTACTCCCAGGCCAGCCAACCCAGAGCAGAAAACAGGCTGGTGTTGATATGGATGGAAAAGAGAAGTGCACCTGGAGAGGCAACAGAAGATCTCCAGTGTGACAGTGTTGGGGCAAGCACAAATTAGTAAAGCCAAATTGGATGACAATTTGGCAATGTGACAAATTTAAATATTCATGTATACTGCAATATTTGCATAGTCATTTTGAAAACTGTAAGTCAGTAATAAGAAAAATATCAAACCACTAGCAGTGGTTGTCTCTGAGGAGGAAAGGGAGAGAAGCTCAAGACTCTATGGTCAACCACATATGGGCTTACATCCTGATTCTAGCTGCCCAGTTAATAATCTTTTGACTGAAAACATACACACACACACACACACACACACACACAGAGAGAGAGAGAGAGAAAGAGAGAAAAAATAAAATCAACCCAAGGAAAAAGTTTTGGTCAAGGTTTGTACCATCAAACCGTAAAGAATGCCTTCAGAAATGCCTACATCCTGGGAGTCAAACATCGTCAGGTTTTTCTTCTTCTTCCCAGCGTCTACCAGCACTGCTTCCTCATATTGGCTTCATTCTCTCAGGCCAGCTGTTCCCACAAGTTCAACACATGGCTTCGGGTAATACTAAACTTATGTTCCCCAAGACGTGGCCAAAGAGAAAAGAGGTTCCCTGGTGCTTCAGTTAATCCCAGAATAATTATTCCAGGAAATGCTGCTAATTGGGCAAGCTTGGCTCACATAGTCAACCATGGACAAATTATACAGATGGCCAGGGCAGCAGGGCGTGGGGTTAGACCCTTTCTGACACACGTCTACCCTGTAACCACAGGTTGTAAGAATCTGATTGATCACCCACCACAACCACGTTTAGGAGAGAAAAAGCACAATTCTTCCAAGAGAGAAACTTTTTTAGGGGCAGGAAAAGGTAAATAAACTAAACAAACATTATATAAATGGTAACCTTAGGCAATACCTAACATCTCTGAGCCTCAGTCTCCTTATATATAAAATGAAGGAAGTGGTCATATCTACATACTAGGGTTGTTGTGGGATTAATCCTGTGCCTTAATCTTATTCTTAACATATTATTATTCTTATCTTTCTATTTTATATTATTTTTAAAAGAATAAGAATCATGAATAAGAAAGATGTTTTAATCATGAATAAGAAAGATGTTTCCATTTGAGAAAAAAGAAGTTAACAGTATTAATTGAGGAAGAGTCATCAAATAAATTAATCATTAATGATTCAAAATTTGTATTGTCCTTGTATTTGCCATTTACAAATTACTGTTGACAATTACTGCACTATGTGTTTTACATACATTACCTAATTTAATCCTCACAAATACTTCATACACAAATTCCTATTTTACTGACAAAACTGAAACTCAGAAAAGCAAACTAACTTAACCAAAAACGGAAAGCCAATAATTAATGGAGCTGCTAGGTAAAGCCAGGTCGGCCTAAAGCAATAAGGGATCTGCAAACTACAACCCATATGCTAAATGCCACCCCTCATTTTTCTATGGCCAGTGAGCTGAGAATGACTTTTACAGGGTTTTTCTTTTTGTTTTTTTGTTTTTTGAGACAGGGCTTCACTCTGACACCCAGTCTGGAGTACAGTGGCGCGATCACACTCTCACGCCCACTGCAGCTTCCGCCCCTCCGTCCCTCCCCGTGTTTGAGTGATTCTCCTGCCTCCCAAGTAGCTGGGATTACAGGCGCCTACCGCCACGCCCAGCTAATTTTTGTGCTTTTAGTGGAGATGGGGTTTCACCATATTAGCCAGGCTGGTCTCAAACTCCTAACCTCAAGTGATTCACCTGCCTTGGCCTCCAGAAGTGCTGGGATTACAGGCATGGCCACCACACCCAGCTGACTTTTACATTTTGTAGTTGTTGAAAAAACTGAAAAAAAAAAAAAAAAAATACTCCGAGGGCCGGGCATGGTGGCTCATGCCTGTAAACCCAGCACTTTGGGAAGGAGAGGCAGGCGGATCACTAGGTCAGGAGATAGAGATCATCCTGGCTAACATGGTGAAACCCCATCTCTACTAAAAACACAAAAATTAGCCAGGTATGGTGGCCCACGCCTGTAGTTCCAGTTACTCAGGAGGCTGAGGCAGGAAAATTGCTTGAACCCAGGAGGCGGAGGTTGCAATGGGCCGAGATCCTGGCAATACAGCGAGACTCGTCTCAAAAAAAAACCTTGTGACACATGAAAATTATATGAAATTCAAGTTTCAGTGTCCATAAATAGCATTTATTGGAACACAGTCATGCTTAGTTGTTTAAATATTTTCTGTACCTGCTTTAATGCTACAGTGGCAGAGTGAAGTAGTTGTGACAGATATATGGACCACAATAACTAAAATATTTACTATCTGGTCTTTTGCAGAACGTTTGTCAACATCTGGTCTAAATAAAAAACACATCATCTTTCAAATACATCTCACTGTCTCTCCAGATACTGCCTAAAAATTATACATTGGATGCTAAAAATTATACATTGGATATTGAGAGATCTCTAACTAGCAAGAGTAGTTCAGTGCAAAAAAAAAAAATAAAAGAGGATGAGCAAGTTCAACTTGTAAGAAAGAAGAGAGCTAGATGATAATGTCTGCTCAGGACAAGGTAGAAGGAAACAGTGTATTGGTTCTCACACGATATATGGACTGACCATTCCCTTACGTGAAATGTTACTAAGTTGAATACCTGAGCTCAATATCCCACAACATTCACAAAACCTAATGAATCAGGAAAACTTTTTTGGGAAAAGAAAGTTTAAAAGTAAACCTTACCTTCCATTCTGAATTTATTCAATTCAAAAGCAACAAATAAAAGGGACAGAAGTAATGGCTTATTCAAATTCTTAAAATGAAAATAAGAAATCTGAATTGGTTTGTAAATTTCAGAAATAGTCTGCCTTTTCACTATACACAAAAACTATGGACTTCCAGATTCAAAGCAATCATAGAGGTTTTTTTAGTGTATTTCCTGATTTATTATACCATCACTATCTTAAAACATCCTTGGAAATTATCTACTATTTTCACAAAAATCTCTTTAAGACTGAACAATCAGATGTGTTCACACAATCTTGTCTTATAATACTTAAGCAATGTTTTTGATATAATCAAAACATTAAAAAAATTTTTTCATCAGACAGAATAGTAAATTCATGACTTCCTTTTATTATATTACTGATTTATTGTGTAGCTTAGATGTGTATGGATTTTAGTAGGCTTTAATTGACACACAGCGATTGTACATGTTTATGGAGTACATAGTGACGTTTTGATACATACAATTAGAGTGATCAATTCAGGGTAATTAGCATATCCATCATCTCAAACATTTATTATTTCTTTGTGTTGGGAACATTCAATGTTCTCCTTCTAGCTATTTGAAACTGTATATTATTGTTAACAGTAGTTATTCTATAGTGATACAGAATACTAGAACTTATTACACCTACCTAGCTATAATTTTGTATC